CTCATATACTTGGTCTTGGTCCTACTAAGTCTAAACTTAGTAGACTTGAAAGTCTATCTCCACAACCCTAATTTCCCATTGACGCCAAATCTGGCCTTGTCAACTAGGAGCACATCAACATCAAAGAGCAAAACACCAAGGCATATCTCATTTGCATATTATTTATGACCTCCTAAACCACTGAGGCAAAGAAAGAGCTGAAGGTTCATCCTTTATGTTGTCCTATCATAACTAGGAAGGTACCAGTCTTGTCACCGCCTCGAACACTTGTCACAATATTATCATATATATCATTGAAGAGGACAATGTACTTTGTTGTGACTTTATGTTTCTCTAACATCCATCACATAACCATTGTTGGTATCTTGTCATGTGTCTTCTCCAAGTGGATGAAAACCATATGTAGACCTGTCTTCTACTTCCTATAACTTTACATAAACTGATGTAGTAGAAAATTCTCCCCTATAGTCTATCCCCCGGGTATAATATCAATTTGATTTATTGTGACCTTCATCTCTTTTCCCGATCGATGCTCAGTTGCCCTCCCCCAAGGCTTCATATTGTGGCTTATAAGCTTTGTAACTTTTGGACCCAAAAGTTGGTTTGTTGGAGACCCCCCTTTGGTTCAACTTATAACAGCTTTTGGACCCATAAGTTGGTAGTTCAAGCTAATCCAAACGCAAACTTTATTTCTCGGTCATTAGTGTAGCTTTGGATATATCCTTTATTCTTGAAGATAGGTACTAGTGTATTATGTCTCTTATTCCACTCTTTGAGCATTTTGTTTGATAAAAAATTATAGTTGAATAGCTTAGGGCATACTCAAATCCTCTCTAGCTCCTAGCTCCACAAACTCCGTGACCGGAGTTGGCCCGTATGTCTGAGCTACAAGAAGCTGAACTCGTGAAGCTGAGGCGGCTTGAAGTGTAAAAACGAGGAGTCTAGAAAGCCTAGCTCCACCGAAATGAAAATTAAGAGTTTGCAATAATACAACCGAAGTACAGTCATTGAGAAATACGATTCATCAATGTGAGGAACCTCTCCCATCGAATGAAAGGCATCCCCGAATTCGTACATGAGGCTCTCTCCCTCGACATCTCTCCCTCACCTATTAACCCTACCCACCGTTGCCACCCCGCCGCCACCCCGGCTCCACCGTGTCGTCGGGCAGCGCTCCTCTCCACTGGTAGACCCGTCTGATCTTGCCCCTTTCTTCCCCAAGATCGAGTACCCTAGCAACAAAAGAAGCCATCGCCAAACCATGAGGCTACTGTTGCGCGCCACTAGGAGTGTTGCCGTAGTGCGGACGAGGGTGAAGGACAATGGAAGACCTAGAGCCATGACCATGGGTGTGGGGATGCCAACCTTATACTCACAATAGAAATGACATGCAACCATAAAAATGTTAGTTTATCATTTTAACAATATAATACGCATAGGATTAGACTAGCCACTACTAGATAATTTTTTTTGCATTTTTGGATGGGGTGCCAGGGCACCCCCACTAGATCTGCCACTGGTGGAGGATGAGGTCGCTGCCTGTTGTAGGGCTTAGGGAGGTCGCCACACGTAGGATGAGTTGATCAAATCAATGACGAGCCACACTCGTGCGCCTCTTATGCTCCCCTAGCACCACGCCGATCACAACATTTATACCGCATCAGTGAACAGGAGGACGCCTAAATCGATCTTCGGAGCAGCATTACATTAATGTTTGGGCCGGCCAAAATGCTCGAGGTGGGAGCGCTAGAAAAGGCCGCCGAACAAGGTAGGACGACAAAACGACCGTTGAGTGAGCTAATCGGATGGTGGAGAGTGTCGTAATCATTGCGGAGGCTCATAGGTAGCTGACTTTTGCTATTTTTAATTTAGCTTAAATATGGTGTTCTCATTCCTCCCATTGAACAACTCATCAAAGTATTGTCTTCATGTATTTTTTAATCTCCTCATAATTAAAAAAAAGACCCTGACAAGTGTCACACGTGTGGCACGGACACATGGTAACTCCGAACCTTTTTGATGGCAAATTTAGTGACGCGAGGATGACAACTTCCTTTTCAGATGACATTTTTTTTTAAAAAAAATCAGGGTTTGTTTTTTCTTCTCGGATATAAATTTTAGTTGTAAATACCGCCAGGGCCGAAGTGCTTCGTGCCACACATGTGGCACTTATCATTTTTTGAGGTAAAGCCCTTATCATTCAGGTTCTTTTTGAGTGAAACTTATCATTTAGTTTTTTTTAGTAACACTTATCATTTAGGTAAAAAAGAAAACAGACAACGCTTGTTAATGGGCCACATTAACCGGGCCAACTGCTCGCTGCCTACCCATTTCGCCGGCACGCGGGTCCCACTCATCAGCCAGCAGCGGAATCCCGTCCCCGCAATCCCGTTTCTCGCTTCCCCTCCAAGAAGAACAACAAAGCCGGCGACGAGCGAGTCAAGAGTCAAATCTCTCTCCGCGGCACCAACCACCTCCCTCCCCCCTCCCGCCGCAGCCCAAATCGGCAGCGACCAAATCCCCCCAGCCCCCACCCCGGCCCC